CCTTCCTTCCTTCCTTCCTTCCTTCCTTCCTTCCTTCCTTCCTTCCTCCCCTACCCTTCCTTCCTTCCTTTTCCTCCCTTCTTCCCTCTCCCTCTCTCCCTCCCTCTCCTCTCCTTCATTTCCGTCTCCCTTTCTTTCCCCTTCCTCTCTTCTCCTCTCCCCTTCCTTCCATCCCACCCTCCTTCCCTTCCTTCCATCCCACCCTCCTCCCTCCTCCCTCCCATCTTCCCATTTTCCTTCCTTTTTCCAACCCATCTCCTTTCTTCCTCCCTCCCTCTCTTCCCTCTTCCTTTCTTTCTCCCTCTCCTCTCTTCCCTCCCTCCCTCTCTCCCTCCCATTTTCCTTCCTTCCTTTTTTCCAACCCATCTCTCCTCCCTCCCCCCATCTCCTTCCTTTCCCTCCCCTTCTTTTTCCCTCCTCTCCTCTCCCCTTCCTTCCCTCCCACCCACCCTCCTCCCTGCCTCTCTCCCTCCCACATTCCCATTTTCCTTCCTTTTTTCCAACCCATCTCTCCTTCCTCTCCCTCTCCCTTTCTTTCTGCCTCTCCTCTCTTCCCTTCCTCTCATCTCCTTCCTTCTCTTCCTCCCTCCCATCTTTCTCCTTCCTTCCTTCCTTCCTTCCTTCCTTCCTTCCTTCCTTCCTTCCTTCCTTCCTTCCTTCCTTCCTTCCTTCCTTCCTTCCTTCCTTCCTTCCCTCCTTCACCACCCATCTCCCTATCCAAAACAATTCTGGGTGGCTTACTATGGTTTCAGCTGCCACTGAAATTTTGAGCAACCCAAAAACACTTTGGCTGCCCAGGTTCTTGGAGTTTGAGAGAGTGGCTGTCAGGTTTCCAAGTGAGGAAATCCATTTAAAAAGAAAAAGAACAAAGTCCATCTTCCAAAACAATTCCTTTCATTTAGGAAAGCATCAAAGTGGCAAAGTACGTGGCGTAATTTTGGGTTGTGTCAGAGAGAAAGAAAAAAAAAGGAATATATAATAAGGCTAAATAAAATGTCTATGTATATGTCAATTTTGGGCTTGATAGTGGCCTTGTGGCGTCCTGTGCATCAGGTAGGATCAACCTTTCTGGCTCTGAAGCAACGGAAAACTTACCAGCCCTGAAGAAATCACACCTGAAGGGGAAACACGCCTTCTGCCCAAGAAGTCCCATCGTGGGGATGCCATGGTTGCTAGCCTGCTCATTGGGGTTATGAAGAAGACAGAGTCGGAAAGAACAGCCTTTTAACCTCTTGCAGAGTTGGGCAGAGAAAGGAAGCCTGATTAAAATGTAATATTCCTCCTGTCTCCAGGAATTGGGAATTGCAACATACCTTCTAGACCAGTGGTTGCCAACCAGTGGGCTGGGGACCACTGGTGGTCTGTGAGAAAATTTTGGTGCTCCACAGAGAAATGTCACCCCCAAAGCAATTCATCCAGGTGGTGCTTGCATCGCTTGCATTGCAAACAACACGAGGTAGTGAGGGGAGGGAGGAAGGGGGCGGAGGGGGGGAAACTTGCCTCACGTGCCTCACACGCCTGGCGTGGCCAGCGGGCTGCTTCTTTCCACTTCTTTCTTCTTCTGCTTTTGGCTGCATGCAAGGAAAGCAGCAAAAGTCTTTCTTTCTCTCACCCAATTCTGCCAGAAAGGAGTCTTGGGACTCCTGCAAGGCCTCCTGCTCCAAGAGGCTGGCAAAGACTCCTTTCTGGCAGAGTTTGGAGGCGAGAAAGAAAGACTTCTGCTGCTTCTGCTGTTTCCCTTGCATGAAGCCAAAAGTCTCTCTCTCTCTCTCTCTCTCTCCCTCTGAGAACGGAGCTAAAAAGCAGGTTAGGTATGTGGCTGCCTTGGAGGGTGTGTGTGTGTGTGTGTGTGTGTGTGTGTGAGAGAGAGAGAGAGAGAGAGAGAGAGAGAGAGAGAGAACATCACCGCTAGCCCTCTGAGGTTAGATCCGATTTCTCTCTCTCCCACCCTCAGCAAGCCACGGTCAGTCAAAATTCATATTAGTTGTCCACTGGATTTAAAATGATGAGGTTGGTGGTCCCTGAGGTCCAAACGGTTGGCAAGCCCTGTTCTGGAAGATGGCAGGCTAGGTGAGACTGCCTTGGCACGAGACCAGTTGCTCTTTACATCTCCTGTTCTTAGTTTCCCCCGAGAAATCAATAACACCCTGGCTTAGCTTTCTCTGGTTGAAATAGGTTGACTCTGCGCTTTCAGCGCTTGACATTTGGTGAGGGTCCTGGTGGCCCAGCCTCAGGGGGAACGGTCTAAATTCCATGTCATGCTTCGGAACATGCCTGCTAGAATCTCTCCAGGAGACAGCTTACCAAAAGGACAATATATATATATATATATATATATATATATATAAATATATATATATATATATATGGGTGGATAAATAATTAAAATAAATGCAATCACAGTTGACCTGTTCTAAGGACAAACATCTAAGAAATGGAGAACTGCAGGACTCGGTTAAAAGAAAGAAAGAAAGTTAGCAGCTTAGGGAAAATTTATGGTGGACGTTCCATAAATCACAGATTTAAAAAACAACAACAATGGACACAAAAAATCATGGGAGAATTGGCAAATTCCCCCCGCCCCCCCCCAAAATCCCCCAAGATGCTGATCTTCTATGGAGATTCTCAGCCACCCAGGTCATGGTTGTCCGAAAGGTGCCTTTTCTTCAAGAGACAACTAGACTTCCTTGGTTTTTTCTTTTTCTTTTGAGGACATTTCACTTCTCATCCAAGGAGCTTCTTCAGCTCTGACTGGATGGTGGGGAATGGAAGGATTTATACTCCTTGCAGACAGCTGGTCATTTGCATCCCTTTTAGAGGGTCGCTGAGGCCACTTGGAGGTTTATCTCTGTCGGAGGGATCTGACATCATCTACCACCTGTCTACAACACAGTCTTTTCAGCCATTCCAAGAAGGCTCCACACCCATTTGCACTACTCGGGTGACCCTGAGGACACAGACAAACCTCCAAGTGGCCTCAGTGACCCTCTAAAAGGATGCAAATGACCAGCTTTTCTGCAAGGAGTGTAAATCCTTCCATGTCATCCCTTGGCTCTGGGACTTGCCAGAAACGTGGGAGAATTTGGGGGGGACGGGACTTTGGAGCAATAAAGGGGCGGTTGGAACTGCTAGCTACCTGTGCTGCCTCTGTGCCCTGCCCAGGATCATCACACTGCTAGTTAGAGGAAGACTGCCTCTACTGGCCATCCATTGGAAGATGATTAACACGCTGAATTTACTCCATAGGGCAGATGGGGTCCACTTATTGTCAGAAGTTCCCCAGGAAGATCTTCACGCCATTATGAAAAACTCTTTTGCCGTCGTTAACAGTTCCATATCCGAAGGGATGTCAGCTGCAATTTTAGAGGTAATTTTTCCTTACTTCCAGGTGGGGAGAACTGTGTTGGGCTTGGAAACCTTGGAAATCCGTGTCGTCCTTCTGTTGATGTTCCTTAACTCTTAAAAGATGTAGAACGTAGACCAAGGGTCTTCAAACTTGGCAAGTTTAAGACTTGTGGATTCCAACTCCCAGAATTCCTGAGCTAACATGACTTGGAGGAGGAATTCTGGGACTTGAAGTCCACAAGTCTTAAAGCTGTCAAGAGATAGACTACTATGAGTTGGAAGGGACCTTGGAGGTCTTCTAATCCCACCTCCAACCTTATACCTACTTCTGGAGGCAAAGTCGTTCCACTGATGAATTATTCTCGCCGTCGGGAAGTATCTCCTTCATTCCAGGTTGCTTCTTTCCTTGAGTGGTTTCCCTCTATTGCTCCTTGTCTTGCCTTCGGGTGCTTTGGAGAATAAGTTGACCCGCACTCTTCTTTGTGGCAGGTTGATCCCCTTTCTTTTATTGGTCTCCTCTTCCTTTGAACTGTGAAACAGCTAAATAGCTGACTGAAGTGGCAGCCCTTCAAATATTGGAAGACTGCTATTAAGTCACCTCCTAAACTTTCTCTCCGTTAGGCTAGATATACCCTGCTCCTTCAAACATTCATTGCACGGTTTAGCCTCCAAATCTTTTGTCATCTTTGTTGCTCTTCAAACAGACAAAGCTCTCGTTCTCTCTCTCTCTCTCTCTCTCTCTCTCTCTCTCTCTCTTTTTGGTCAAACAGACAAAGCTGTTTGAACTGTTTTGTGAAATTGACCAGCGATGTTGAGTTTGCATTCCCCTGTTTGGCCCATTGACTTGGATCTTCATGGAGATCCAGAATACAAACAGACAGACACACACACACACACACAGGGAGAGGGGAAGAGGGAGCAAGAGAGAGAAAGAGAGAGAGAAGGAAAAAAAGGAGTGAGAAAGAGAAGGAGAGAGAGAAAGAAAGAGAGGGCAAAAAAGGAGAGAGAGAGAAGGAGAGGGAGAGAAGAGAGAGAAAGAGGGAGAGAACGAAGGGGAGAGAGAAAGAGGGAATGAGAGAAAAAGAGAGAGAAAGTAAGAGAGAGGGAGAGAAGAGATAAAGGAGAGAGAAAAGGAGTGAGAGAAAGAGAAAGAGGAGGGAGAGAAGAGAGAGAAAGAGAAGGAGAGAGAAAGAAAGGGAGAGAGAAAGAGGAGAGAAGAGAGAGAAAGAGGGAGAGAAAGGAGAGAGAGAGAAAGTAGGAGAGAGAGAAAGAGGGAGAGGGAGAGAGAGAGAGACTGCAGAGGGGAAAACACAACTGAAACTTTTGCTGTCTAATAAAACCCCCCGAATGAAGCCCATTGTGTACTGTTTAAATCAACCCTATTATTAAAAGTCAGTTCTGATTTAGTCTGGCAATTACAAGCAAGAGAGGCCAATTTTCCTTTGCCGATTTATTGGTCTCTTCTTCCTCTGAATTGTGGAACAGCTAAATAGCTCACTGAACTGTGAACACCTCAGAGTTGGGATGCCAAGAGAAAAGTTTTAAAAATCAAGAAGAAAAAAGCAAGTCACAAAGAACATAAGTTTCCACTTCCTTTTCACTATCTTCAAAAGGTCAGATAATCTCTCTGGATTTCCTACCCGAAGAAGCTGGAAATCAAATCCGAGGAAGGTTTCGACAAGGTTAAAACCCCTTTGGGCTCAACTCCCCTCTTTAAACAAAACCCTGAGGATTTGCAGTTTGGAAAGAAAAATAATCGCCACCCACTCCGAGATCCTTCCACGTAGATTACAGGTGAAAAAAAAATAAAAATCAATGGGAACCAGCTTTGAAATGCAATTCCTTCCCTCTTCTGTTGGTGCTCCAAAGCCTTTTTTTTTTCTTTTTCCAAATTCTTCTTTTGTTTAGAATTTATCTGTTTGATTTAGCCGGTTTCTTTAAAGGTCTGCCTTCTTCTTCTTTTTTTTTTTTTTTGCATTTAATTCTGCCCAGTTTCTCTTAGACAATCTGGCCGACTGCGACAATAAAGAAAGACCAAAGAAAGGCAACTTGTGAAGGCAGGGGCTGTTTTAGTTAGTCCAGCTTCTCCTCCCTGAGATGGCCAACAGGCAGAAACGCCATCTGTCAAATGCCTGTTTCATTAAGCAAGACTGCAGTTTGGCCTGCGAGGATATTAAATGGAACTGCAGCCCAGGGAAGCGGGTTGGATGAGGAAGAAAAATAAATAAGTGCTGTTTTGAGCCCTTTTGATCAAAAAGAAGAAGAGGGAAGAGAGAACACAGGATTATCTCAGGCCACATTTATGCAGCTTCTAGAGAATGGAAATCTCTAAAGCCCGTTGGAAAGGAAGTTTGAACATGAGCCGAGAAGAAAGTTATTCCGATAAAAATAACCATGGCACCCTAGGTTCTTGGGAAGAACTTGATGAGTATGAAAGGCCAACATCAGCTAAAGAGCTGGCAGTTTAGGACTTCATGTTGGGAACAAATGTCAGGTGTCGAGAACCAAGAAACGCGCAGAGTTTCTTCCGAGCAGTTCCTTACCTTCAGACAGAATCTTGCCAGACTAAAGCAATTCTTCCCACCATTAAAGGTATGACCAATAGATTAACATAGTTGGTAGGGACCTTGTAGGTCATCTTGTCTGACCCCACCCACCCCTCCCAAGCAGGAGACCCTACACCATTTCTGACAGATGGCAGTCCAGTTGGTTCTTGAAAGCCTCCAGGGATGAAGCTCCCACAACTTCTGAAGGCAACTTCAGTTCCATCGGTTGATTGTTCTCACTGTCAGGAAATTCCTCCTGATTTCCAGGTTGAATCTCTCCTTGTCTGGTTTTCATCGTCATTCCTTGTCTGGCCTTGCTTTGGAAAAGAGCTTGACCCCCTCCTCACTGTGGCAACCCCTCCAATATTGGAACATATGCGCTGAGAACTTCTACGAAGGAGCCCTCTTAAACCTCTTCCTCCCAACCAAACTCTCTAAGCTCTTGTTCCTCCACAAGGCAGCCCCTCCCTCCTGGGAATCCAGACTACATTCCACACCACATCTGATACATTTTGCAGAATTAGAGAGTTCCATCCTTATAATTAGGCTCTGGGGTTTCATATTTGCTCAAGAAGTGAAGGTACAAGGGGAAGAAAAATGACAATACATGATCAACTGAATGTAGTTTGCTTCTGAAAAGGGTGAACACAATGGAAGGGAAGGGAATAGAAATGGAGTTGGAAGGGACCTTGGAGGTCTTCTAGTCCAACCCCTGCATAGATAGGAAACACTACACCATTTCAGACAAATGGTTGTCCAAACTCTTCTTAAAATCTTCCAGTGTTGGAGCAGTCACAACCTCTGGAGGCAAATTGTTCCACTGGTTAATTGTTCACAGTGTCCAAAATTTTTTCCTTAGTTCTAAGTTGCTTCTCTCCTTCATTAGTTTCCATCCGTTGCTTCTTGTCCTGCCTTCAGGTGCTTTGGAGAATAGCTTGACTCCCTCTTCTTTGGGGTAGCCCCTGAGATATTGGGAGATTGCTATCCTGTCTCCCCTGGTCCTTCTCTTCCCTAGACTAGCCATGCCCGGTTCCTGCAACCATTGTTCATATGTTTTAGTCTCCAGTCCTCTAATCATCCTGGTTGCTCTTCTCTGCACTCTTTCTAAAGTCTCAACATCTTTTCTTTTTTAATTGTGGCAACCAATAATGGATACAGTATTCCACCTTGTGAAGTGTCACATTCTAGTGCATCCAAATTACAGGTATTTTTAATCACACAGTCACCTTGCTCAAGGAAAGGACAACTGCCTTAAAATTGCCAGTCATTTAGGGCAGTAACTGTGTACTGCATAAACCACTCAGGTAAGTTTGGTTGGTACAAAGCCAAGCCTTCCCCTCCTGCCTTTGCCATCTGCCACCGTATTACATCCTGCTGATGTAATAGAAGTTTATGGGCGTGGATGTATGAAACAGGTCCAACAGATAAGTTTGATGCAGATACAGATTAACAGAGTTGGAAGGGACCTTGTAGGTCATCTAGTCCAACCCCCCACCCAAGCAGGTGAGAGGTCTTCTAGTCCAACCTCCAAAAAACCCTCTTCCATTCCAGTCCAATGGTTGTGCAGTCTCTCCTTAAAAAAACTTTAAAAGTCTCCAGTGTTGGAGCACCCATAACTTTTTGCAGGCAAGCCGTTCCATTGAATAACAGAATAATGGAGTTGGGACAGACCTTGGATGTAGATAGATACAAATTAACAGAGTTGGAAGGGACCTTGTAGGTCATCAAGTCCAACCCCACCTAAGTAGGAAACACTACACCATTTCTGACAGATGGCAGTTCAGACTCTTCTTGAAAGCCCCCAGGGATGAAGCGCCCACAACTTCCAAAGGCAACTTCTGTTCCATGGGTTGATTGTTCTCCCTGTCAGAAAATTTCTCCTTATTTCCAGGTTGAATCTCTCCTTGTTCGGTTTCCATCCATTATTCCTTGTCTGGCCTTCGGGTGCTTTGGAAAATAGCTTGACCCCCTCCCTCCTCTCCAGGGCAGCCCCTCCAATATTGGAACATAAGCTCTGAGAACTACAAAGGAGCCCTCTTAACTCTCTTCCTCCCAATCAAACTGTCTAAACTCTTGGTTCCTCCACAAGGCAGCCCCTCCCTCCTGGGAATCCAGACTACATTCCACACCATATTTGATACATTTTGCAGAATTAGAGAGTTCTGGCCTTACAATTTGGCTTCCAGTGATGAAGCCCCCCCCCCCCGCCCCAGGTTCTGAACAACAGAATAATAACCCAGTTGGAAGGGACCTTGTAGGTCATCTAGCCCAACCCCCCACCCAAGCAGGAGACCCTACACCATTTCTGACAGATGGCAGTCCAGTCTCTTCTTGAAAGCTTCCAGAGATGAAGCTCCCACAACTTCCGAAGGCCGATTAATGAGTTCATCTTAATCTTTTTGGATTAAGGTACCTCTTTTCTCTCCCCAAAAGAGCGGATAATTTCAGCTCCCCACTCTCGGAGATCTTGTGACAGGTAATCCTCGACTTACAACAGTTCATTTAGTGACCAAAGTTACAACAGTGTGAATTATGACCAGGGTTGTTTTTTGTTCACACTTAACGACTTGCAGCATCCCCATGGTCAAGTAATCAAAATTTGAATGCTTGGCAACTGGCTCCTTATTGATGATGGTCGTTGCCATGTCCCAGGGTGATGTGATCCCATTTAGGTGATTTCCTGACAAACAAATCAGTGGGGAAACCAGGTTCCCTTAAACAAACTTAACCCACATCAGAGTTATCTACAAGCTCTCCGTTCTCCCAAATGTGAGCCCGGTCTTTTCTGTGTTACAGGCAATGGATTTAAATGTTCCTGTGCTGGCAAGGGACATTCCAGGAAATGCTGCTGTGATTGTACACCAAACAACCGGATTATTATATTCGACTCCACAGGTAATAATTAAGTTAAAATATGCTGGGTCCTATGTAGATCTGTCTGTCTCTCTGTCTGCCCCTATTTCCATGCATCCATCTATCTATCTTATCTATCATCTCTTCTGCTTGGGTGGGGGTGGGAGGTGGACAAGATGACTTACAAGATCCCTTCCAACTCTATTAATCTATCTTTCTATCATGTATCTGTATATCTCTATCATCTATCTATCTGCATGGAGATCATCTGTCTGACTATAGTATCTATCGATTACCTATATCTATCATCTATCTATCTGCCTGTCCATCCATCCGTCCATCGATCATCTATCTCTATCATCTACCTACCTACCTATCTCTCTCTATCTCTATCTATCTATCTATCTATCTTTATCTCTATCTATCTATCTATCTCTATCTCTCTATCTATCTATCTTTATCTATCTCTATTTATCTACCTATCTCTATATATATATCTAGCTACCTCTCTACCTCTCTATCTACCTCTCTATCTATCTATCTATATCTCTCTCTATCTATCTCTATCTCTCTATCTCTCTATCTTTATCTATATCTATCTACCTATCTCTCTATATATATCTATCTAGCTACCCATCTACCTCTCTATCTACCTCTCTCTCTCTCTCTATCTTTATCTATCTCTATCTATCTATCTATCTATCTACCTATCTCTCTCTCTCTCTACCTACCTCTCTGTCTCTCTCTCTCTGTCTCTCTCTCTCTTTCTTTCTTTATCTCTACCTATCTATTTACATCTATCTATCTATCTATCTATCTATCTATCTATCTATCTATCTATCTATCTATCTATCTATTTACATCTATCTATCTATCTATCTTTATCTATATCTATCTACCTATCTCTATCTATCTATCTATCTATCTATCTATCTATCTATCTATCTATCTATCTATCTATCTATCTTTATCTATAGCTATCTACCTATCTCTCTATCTCTCTATCTATCTATCTGTCTGTCTGTCTGTCTGTCTGTCTGTCTGTCTATCTATCTATCTATCTATCTTTATCTATATCTATCTACCTATCTATCTACCTCTCTCTCTCTCAGTTGTCTCCTGAATGATGCTGGATAGGAGAATGAAATAATTTCATATTGGGAGCTGTCCATGACTCGCGGTGCTGAAGCCGACTTGGGGGTTAAGCTTTCAATCGAGACCTAATTCTCCCTGTCCTCCCCCCCGCCCCCAGGTAGCCCCCAGGATGTGTCACCTCCCAGATAATTTATAGCTCCACTACCATAATGAAAACCTTGATCTTATTTGTGTTAAGCTTTCAAACCGTTCGTGGCACCCAGGTCACAGCTGTGGAAGTGTCTAACCACTGAGATGTTAAGTCCTCCGTACATACGCTGCCATGGAGGTTCACCCCCATTTCCTAATTAACCAGAGTGTGTTATTAAAACTCAGAAAGGTCCGGGAGAAAAGGAGGAGGAATTATGGGGGAATTAATCCTGTTGATCCCATAAATTAGATTTCAGTTCTCCATCAATAATCGGCTACGTGCAATAACGCTACGCTTTTAAAGAATAAAAATGCGGACCCAGATTAAATAAAACCACCAAGTGAAAAATACATTTTCTCTTAAGCCTTTTTTTTTTTTTTTTTTGTGAAAGCGTGATGAATGCTGTTAAGTATAGTCAGAAAGTTAAATCTTCCGTTTTCATTAGTCCTTCATGTAACTATCCCCTTCTGAAAAAAAAAAATCAAGAAAAATGTTGCGCTTAACATGTTCCTCCGCCCCACCCCAAAGTCAGTTGTTTCCTGCAGGGTTCAGGAATGAATCTTTTTTGTGATATAAGCTACAGCAGTTTTTTTTCCCCCTTGAATCTGAACATTATGATGATGTTTTTAATGTGTCCATGAGGTCCCAGGGGCCAAGACCAGAGAGAAAACAATATCTTACTTCAGACTTTAAATTGGGTTTTTTGTGGTGGTTGGGTTTGGGTTTTTTCTGGCAAATTGTCTTGTGATTAAAGTTGGTGTTGGGCAAGATGGGGATGTTCAAGGACCCTTTTGAGAATTTTAGGCAGGGTGAACGTCTGTGTTCCCCTCCTGCCAAGATCTACTAATAACAGCTAAGAATTCTCTTTTAAGACACACACACAGAGAGAGAGACACAGACAGACAGACAGACAGACAGATAGACAGACACACACACACACTTTGGTCTCTTTGCTTCTTTTCCTCCATTCTTTCATCGGTCGGAAGAAATGGAAGAAATAAACAATACCAAAAGAGGAGATTATTTGTATGTCGGAGTTGAACTATGAGGGGTCCTTGGTGCTCTCTGAGCTTGGTTATTTTCTTGCAGACATTTTATGACCCAAACTGGGGAACATCATCAGAACTAGAAGGGAGTGAGGTTTGTGAAAAAGGAGGAGGAGGAGGAGGAGGAGGAGGAGGAGGAGGAGGAGGAGGAGGAGGGGGAGGAGGAGGAGGAGGAGGAGGAGGAGGAGGAAAAAAAACTGTGGGTTCCTTGATGCTCTCTGAGCTTGGTTGTTTGCCTGCAGACGTTCGTGACGCAACTTGGTTACATCATGAGCGCTGGAAGGGAGTGGTGTTTAGGGATTAGAAGAGGAGGAGGACTGTGAGGTCCTCAGTGCTCTCTGAGTTGGTTGTTTTCTTGACAACACGTCATTACCCAACTAGGGAACACTACCAGTGTTGCTACCTGATGACGTTACCTAGTTGGATCAGCAAGAAAACCACTAATCTCAAGAGAACACCAAGGATGCTACATGTTGAACTGTTATTTTGGGTTTTGGAAAACCACGTTGGGAAATCTTCTGGTAGAATATGAGTCTGGCAATGCATCTGTTTCCTAATCTGGTGTACCCTTGAAAACAAAGCTTTCTTGGGAACTTTGGACAAAGTACCGCCCTTATTAGTCATAGAACTCTACTGATAATGGCCCACTCCATACCCTTCCTTTTCAGGAATTTGTCCAGCAGGCCAAAACTTTGATGAAGGACCCAGTTTTGTACAAAGAGATTGTAAGAAAGGCACATGAATATGTCCTGAAGCACCATTCATGGGAGAAAGAAAGGAAGGTCTATCAGAATCTTGTTTTGAGACTTCATGAATGTTCTTGTATCAAAAAAACATGAGTTACCAACCACCGTGGTCAACCAGGTTTTCACCTTATCATCTGATTTGTCTTCCTTAATGTTATTGCCATTGTGATTTTGTAGATTTTGTTCGCCTTTCAGAGTCAAAATGTAGACCTCTACAGCCTGGCAGCCTCCAGGAGCATGGGACTTCTGTTCCCATAATCCCCCTACTAGTCATCACCAAAGGACTATGGGAACCGAACTCACATTACAGAACCCCAAGTTGAAAAAAAATCCTAAACATACAAACATACCGTTTATTGTTGACCGGAAACACTTTATAGATTTTTATTGCACGAAGCATAAGAAATTGAATTTATGATTTGTGGTTGGGATGATTACAAGGAATAGATTATAGGGGAAAATACTTGTGCTGTAGCCCACAGAGCAAGGGGTAAATTTAAAATTGTTTTTATAACTGATGTAGTAAAAAAAAAATACATTTTTGTTCTCTCTTTGCTGTTCCATTTTTATTTCCTTGATTTTTCTCTTCCTTTCTTTCCTCCTTATCTCCCTTCCTTCCTTCCTTCCCTCCCTCCCTCATTCTTTCTTTGAATCTCTATTAGTTTTCATTGCTTTTTATCCTCTTTTTAAAAATCCTTCATAATTTCTGTGCATCAAAATTGCATGCATATAATGCATTAAATAAAACAATCTGCCTGAATGATAGTGCAAGGTTGAGGTTATGGTAACAAATAGTGAATATCTGCATTATTTGGGGTAGTTTCACCTACATCTCTACACAGATACACAGATACTCAATGAGGGCGCTCTAGAGCGGTGGTCGCCAACCACTCATGGTCCGTGAGAAAATTTTGGTGGTCCACAGAAAACTGTCACTCCCAAAGCAATTAATCCAGGCTGCAAAGGGACACAAGGCTTGCATTGCTTGCATTGCGAACAACACGAGGTAGTGAGGGGAGGGGGGAAAGGGAGGAGGGGGGAACTTGCCCCACTCGCCCCACGTGCCTTGCCTGGTCACCGGGCTGCTTCTTTTCGCTTCTTTTGGCTTGCACGGAAGAAAAGCAGCAAAAGTCTTTCTTTCTCTCCCCCAAACTCTGCCAGTAATGAGTCTTTGGGACCCTGCAAGACCTCCTGCTCCAAGAGGCTGTGCCATTCTGGCGGAGTTGGGGGGAGAGAAAGAAAGACTTCTGCTGCTTCTGCTGTTTTCCTTGCATGAAGTCAAAAGTCTCTCCCTCTCCCCACCCCCCCCCGAGAATGGAGCTGGAGACGGTATCGTGTGATCCCAAATAAAGAATGATCGATCGGTAGGAAAACGGGGTGAGGAATTTTCCTGCAGACTTTTGAGGGGATTTTCCCAGGGTCTCTGGTCCGCAGGATTTAAAATTATGAGTTTGGTGGTCCCTGAGGTCCAAAAGGTTGGTGACCCCTGCTCTAGAGCATTATATGAAGCCCTAACTGGGAAGAGTGAATTAAGCATCAACCCCCGACAAAATTATCTGACTCTTTTTGGGGCTATGGATTCACAGCTCGTTCCTTTCACCCAACTCCAGAAGAGACAAACTCAGATTTGAACTTAATCAGCCAGTTTTAAATCCACAGCTGTTTCCAGCAGGAAAGAAAGAAAAACAGCAACTTTAAAGGTTTGTTTGTTTATTTTTTAGAAAAGGAGTCGCTTATCTCGGTGCAAAGAACGGGAATGAGAAAAATTTAATTTCCTCTTCTTGTCAGCTGGAGTTGCAGAAGTAGTTTTACACACACACGTGCGGGCACACACACACGCTCCATTCCCTGCGGTGGGTAACTACATTAAAAAAAATATGAATTGGACTCTATTGGTCCAAACCAGCCAATAAAAAAGATGAATCCATCTTGAAAGCAAAACTAGATAAATGCTACCTATCAGAGAATGTCTTTTAATGATCTCCTGCTGGTAACACAGTGAGAACTCCAGCCAGGGAGGGGGAGGCGAATGATCTTTGTTGAGCAAAGATCATCTTCAGACCGACTGATCTTATTTATTTATAAATTCCTGGGGAACAGTAGATACCTCAAAATAAAAGGCTGTGTTTTCTAACCAAGCATTCGTTTTCTGCAAGTTGTATTGGATACGTCGAGCGATTTCGGCTCTTTGGTATATTATTCTTGATTTTAAATCCCTTAGTCATTACTGTTGTTCAATAAGCGTTAGTAGGATTTGTCCCTCACCCCCGCCCCAAAAAAGCAATTAAAGGAAGACCCCCTTGGCCCATAAATCTTAGAGCAAGCGTGATTCATTTTTCATTCGTGGTAAGGCTGATCTTTTTTTAAGGTTACAAAACAAAACCTTTCTGGAATTCTGGGTTTTTCTTTTCTTTGAACAACCAAACTATTTAACAGATTAACAGAGCTGGAAGGGACCTTGTAGGTCATCTAGTCCAACCCCCCGCCCAAGCAGGAGACCCTACAACCATTTCCAACCGATGGCAGCCCAGTCTTTTCTTGAAAGCCTCCAGTGATGAAGCTTCCACAAGCTCCGAAGGCAACTTCTGTTCCATGGGTTGATTGCTGTCATTGTCAGAAAATTCCTCCTTATTTCCGGGTTGAATCTCTCCTTGATCAATTTTCCATTTGTTATTCCTTGTTTGGCCTTTGGGTGTTTTAGAAAATAGCTTGACCCCTTTCTCTCTGTGGCACCTCTTCCCAGGTGTGGTTAATGAAGGGAATCAGGGCCCTTTCCTCCCCCGTAAGCCATGCAACCCACATTTCTCTCTTCTCTGTTCCTCCCTGCATGTCCTAGGGGCTGGGCCTGGATCTTCCTCCGAACCCCCTCTCCCTTGTTCTACCTCTCCCTTGCTCTGCCCAGCCGGACTTTGCCCTTCCCCAGTTTCCTCCATAGCCAACAGAGCCACACTCCCACTCCCTGTCGGCTGTTCATCTTCCTCCTCAGATTCAGACTCTGACAGGGGCATCACACACACACACACACACACACACACGATTTGTATCCTGGGTGTTTTGGTTCACGCAGCGGTGTTTTCCTTGCGCACAATGTTTTAAATAAATAGAATAAAATCAGGTATTTCAATTCCATCTCGCCCCAAAGAGCGACCTTGAGGCAGGGCTGAAGTTAGAGCTGCCCCCCTCCTCTGACACACATACATTTTTAAAGCTTGTTTTGACTGCTGCAAAAATTATCATTCCAAGTTGTTTGCCAGTCTGCCAAGTCCCCCTTTGCTCCTCCTATTTTTAGCAAGGCCAAAAGCTCTCATGGTGTTATAATTATCCCAATCAAATCTGTCAAGCTGGGAGTGGGGGAAAAAATCTTGCTCCATTGCATTTCTGCAAATTAAATCCAGGTGGATGTGGAGGTTTTTCTCTTAGGTGGAAGGAAACAAACTCCCAACTGCTTTTTAGGGGATTTGCAGGTTTTGCCAGAGGTGGGAGAAAGAGCATTGGGCCTGGTTTCTGGGGTTTTGGAGGTCCTCCATACGTGTTGAAAAATAATGGGCTACGAGAGAGGGACTGATTCAAAATCACCCAGACAACTTTCATGCCTAAGCCAGAACTAGAACTCCCAGATTCCTGATGATTGGCCCAGAAATCACGCAGATAGCTTTCATGCCTAAGGCAGAACTAGAACTCACAGACTCCTGGCGGTTGGCCCAAAGTCATCCAGCTGGCTTTTATGCCTAAGGCAGAACTAGAACTTCCAGATTCCTGGTGATTGGCCCAGAAATCACCCAGACAGCTTTCATGCCTAAGGCAGAACTAGAACTCCTAGAGTCCTGGTGAGTGGCTCAAAATCATCCAGCTGGCTTTCATGCCTAAGGCAGAACTAGAATTCCCAGTCTCCTGGTGATTGACCCCAAAATCACTCAGACGGCTCTTATGCCTAAGGCAGAACTAGAACTCCCAGATTCCTGATGATTGGCCCAAAATCACCCCCTCCCCCTTTTCATGCCTACAACGGGATTAGCACTTCCATCCTTAACTGGGTGCAGACTGGAATTTATCAACCCCACACCCTGCAAGTGACAAACCCAGGGAGAGTTGGCACCCAAGCGAGTCCACCCAGAGACTGAAATGAAAGCCAGCTCTCTTTCAACACCCTGGCCGAGTTTTCATCCAGTCCTTCCGAATGCCGCTCTCCGCTTGCGGAAAGGAATTTTAAAACCGGTGACTCTTCAGCATCTCTGAGGCCCCCCTTTGGCCGCAACCATAGAAACTGTGAGTAGCTAAAATGCTGAGAAATGCAGCTTGTAGGTCAGGTGTCGGGGAAAGGACATTCTCCCCACCCCTACCCCGCCCAGGGGACCCTGTTTGCAGACCATACGTTCCTCCTTCAGCTGCATTCAAATGAAGTCACGAGACGCTTATTTTTGATTCATAATTCAGCGTCGTAGGCCATGCGAACGTCGTTTGGCTGGGCTAAGGCATATTACGCGGCAGCGTTCTGGCTTGCAAGCAGTTTTTTTTTTTTTAAATCGCTCTTCCCTCTGTTGATGAGAGAGTGTGCATCGTTTGATGGGTACTATTTTGGGAAGCTACAGAAGCCGACGTACTGCAGAGCACGGATGGAGGAGGTGAGAGCGTCAACCAGGTGGTTAATTAATGGTTGCTGTCCAAATTAAGTAACGCTCTGATGATGATTATTATTATTATTTTTTAAATAATAATCCAGCAGCCTTTTGGAATTCTTTTAATTCTGTGATTGAACATACAGCAAGGAGTTGCACGGTTCAATTCAGGGGAGGTGAACACCAGCCAAATAGATGAATAATTACTGACGCTTATGAAATGGTGGTTTTTCATTCTCTCGTTTTTTTTTTCCTCTTCTCTCCATCTTTCCTACAAAAAGAGGAGAGACCTTTCCATAGAACAACTGGACACCTCAACCTGCTTTATTGAGAGGGGGTTTGGATTTATAATGCTGCAGGGAAGGATAGCTGTTAAACTGAGAGTTTAAGGCTTTATCCCGGCAAGATTCTGTCTCTTGTGTGTAAAGAAACAAAGATCTGGACACTTGAATTGTTGTATGTCATTCCCGGGCTTTGCCCAACACTCCTTCATGTGTACAGTTCCATAATGCAACCTCAAGACATTTAAAAAAAAACCACACACAACAAAGAGGTATTGTTTCAATACACAGCTTTCATGACTGGTCCTTTTTCCTGCACTCCCAGGACACAATCCCTATAAATTACACCGCCCAGTCTCCCGGTCTACCGTTTAATTGCGGGAGATATTTAAATCTTCTCAATTAAGGGCTTTGCAAATTACCAGCTTCATGGAGGTTACCTCCTTTCTCCTCCCTCGAGAAGGTGAGCATCCGGTCACGATCAATAAATTAAAGAAAGGCCCTCTTTCGCCTCCCTTTCGATAAAAAAAAAGAGAGAGAGAGAGAGAGAGAAAACGGCAGCTCGGTTGTTTATTACCCTTATTACATTATCTGTGGCAGCCAGGCAGAGAGGAGGAAAAGAGCGAGCAAAGTGTCAGGATGCTCCAAAATTTAATGAAGTGGTTCCAAATATTAATAGAGCGACTGAATAATTGGAAGCACACATTTTCCGGAGGCCTCTGACAATAACTGTAAGGAGGCCTCCCGGAAGCCAGAGAGATGGATTGGCAAATGAGAAAGT